GGCAGGAACGCTGGAATGGGCAGGCAGGCCTATGGTACGGTCACGCTGCGACTGACGACAGCCACTACCCACAGACCAGAGTCCCTCAGGGCGCGGAGTCTAAGCCCCAGGCTACCCTTCACCAGGGCCCCTGATGGTGGGGATGGACTTGACGCAGCCTGAGACCAGGTCGCGGCCCCCGAGTGACCCCAGCTGCGATAACGACTGCCGCCAATGGCGTACAGCTGGTGGGAGCTAGATGGGATCACGAGTAGAGTAGTCAGACAAGCCGGGTCAATAACAACGGAGCAGACAGTACTAGACGGTAGGCAAAGAATACTCAGGTCACGGGCCGGGTTCAACAACGGGAGGTCAGATAAAGGGTTAACGCAGAGAGTAGTCTTGTCCAAGCCGAGTCGGTTACCAGGAGAGCAATGGGAACAACACAAGAGCTTGCAACAGGGCAACATACAGGACACAAGTGCAGAGCACACTTGCAGACAGCAGGTTTAAATGTGCTCAACCACACCCTTCTGAGGAGGAGCCGCAGAAGCCTGAAGGCATAAAGGTTCCCACCATGCTTTGCAGAAAACCAAGATGGAGGCCAGCTCATGGAGATGCACAAGCTCTGAAGAAAGGTAGGACCTTGACAATGGGACAGAATTCCAAAAGAACTTCACCAAATGCTCCTACAAAACATCAACCAATGCTGGAGATGTCATAACATCTCTGGTAACAAGTAATCAATACTGTATACTGCTAGCAAACATTTGCCTGCTTGTTGTGCGGGCTGAATACTGAAGGCCAAAATGCACAGCACATGAATATATTGCCAGACAGTGGCAGAGTATGTGGGTGCAGGTGTGCATTAGTGGTCAGTGTTGAAGGGCATGAGTGCAGAAGGAGTCAGTGACTAAGGGTAGACAAGCTAAGCAGTGAAACTTGCAGCTACATCAATGGGAGGTGGACCACTGCAGGTACGCATCAAGCAGTGAGTGCGGATGTGAATGGTGCACTTGGTGCCATTGACAAGGTGCTTGGTTGTGTTGGCCATTAGTGACAAAGTGATAAAATGCTTTGGCAGACAGTGGGCATAGGTCATTGTGGCTACAGACAAAAGAAAATGTACAACTGAACATTTGCAGGTTTTTAAGCTCCACGACCCTGATCCATGTTCTGGTGAAAGATTATTACCTGAGATTGATTTTTTCATCTGGTCACTACTGTTACCCAAGACAGGCTGCCACCTACAGTGCTCCAACCTTCTCCCTCCATAGGCACAGACATGCAAGTTCTCCCAGTGCAAAACCCATATGTTTGTAAGAAGAAATTTAATCAGAGACAAACATTCTGTTATACAAAATAAGAACAGGTCCCACCTATTCATATCTACAGTGTCCTTATTGTCCATTTCCCATCCCTGATACAATATTTGCATGTAAACCAACTTAAATAATAATCTTTGCTAGCCATTTGTGGAGTCAGTAATTTTAATATCAAGCCGGCTGGCAGACTAATGTGATAAACAATTAACAGCTTTGTTGCTGTAAAAGTAGGTCAGGATTTCTTTATTGACAGCAGAATACATTGTTCTATTGTTCTGACACAGGCACCTGGATTACTCTCATGTATCATACACATTACTTTTATAAATGGGTTTTTCCTTTTAAAATTACAACATGTATTAATCTCCATTATTCATACCACTACACATTATACAGTAGTATATTTATCAGACCTACTCAAAAGCAAATCTTAAGTGTATTTCCACTTTTGCAACCAAATTAGGATAACGCCTACTTTATTAGTGCAACATGTCCCAATTCATATAGCCTAACTAAAAAAAATATATATAAAAAAAAAAGTTGCTGCTTACCTTGTACTTGTTTTGCATTTGCTTAAAAATCCTATTTAGCTTTCTCCTTCTATGTAATGTTAAGTAGAGGGGTAAGCCACATACACCTTAAAGCCTAGTATACACTATTTGTTTTTTTTTGCTCAACCCATTAGACTGAACGAAAAAAAAAAACCGAGGAGCTCGGGAGGTGTTAGCTGTACTAACTATCCAATGTTAATACAGCAATCTCCCTGCTGAGCTATTGTATTCTGACAGAACACCTGCCAGAACACACCAATCAGCGCTGTCAGCCATTGGCTGAGAGCGCTGATCAGAAACCGATCAGCAGACCTTTTTCAGGCATGCTCCTTCAACAGAAGCTGGACATCTGGCTGGCTTCTGTTGGACAGGCTGCAATACACATGGGCCAAATGTCAGCCGGTTTCTGTTGAGCTGGCCTATACCGCCCGATATTCGGGGCTTTAGTAGCCCTGTCTGCACTATTCTGGCAGACGTTTATGATCCATTGTAAAATAGATGTGCACACTGTCTGTCCTAACAAAGGGTTAAAGATCTGAATGCTTGAGAACCTGCTTCAAAGAAACAACTTTAATGGTAAGAATTGTATTTAATTATTTTTAGGTTTGCTGTATGAATTGGAACACAAAACAAACATATTGTGAGGGTTCTCTAATTTGCCTGCAAAAGTGGAAATACAAGCCAACTCAGATCAGGTCTTAAATTGTAGGAGATTTGTCAGTCTGGCTGCATGCTTGTGTCCAGTAAATAGTCACAATACACGCTTCAGTCACAAAGTGCGACAATCTGTTATTTTCGGGCAATTACCTACAGAAATCTGCCACTAAGAAAAGCTGTGCAACAAGTAATGCATATAAAAGAGGACATGGCTGGGAGAGGAGTGTTCTTGCTGTTGGGTGGGGGGTGAGGCCAAGAGCGCTCTGACTGATGGGGGGGGGAGATGGCCAAGGAGAGAATCAGTATTATCAGGGGGAGAAATGGCCAGGGAGAACAGCAGAAGAAATGTTTATCTTTGCACTAAATTAAGAAGTGATCAGGAGGACTTCATGGCTGTGTAACTGCACTGTATGTCATTTTTTCCCAAATATTCTGTTGTGGCATACAGTAGGTGCTGTTTTGCAAATGTATGCACTTCGCCGCAATTACTCCATAATCAGCTGCTAAAAGTGAACAATTTCAGTTGTCATTAAAAAATGATGCAGTAGGAACAAATAATTAGTATATTTTTTGGTTTGTTTTATTAAACATAGAGAATAGATAAGTTACTACAATGATTTGCCTAACTGATTGAAATAGAAGTACTTGTGGAAGTGAAACTAGTTTTGCTGTTTTTTTTGGCATTCTTTACTTGAGTTTTCAAATAGTAAAAGGCACATTTTTCATCAGTCAGTAATAACGACAGCATATAGTCCATTTAGGTGGAAACCAGTTATTGTATGGCAAGAATTATAGAAGCAAGAGATCCTGGGTATTGGGTACTGTAAAAATCTACATATCCAATAAGAGATGGGTTCCCAGGACCTTTTATACCAGGACCTCTTACAGAAATATTTCATGTGTGTCACCACATTTAATTTCAGGTGAGCCAGAGTATGAGCATTTGTTCGTCTAAGTCTAGTGCCCCATGGCAACTGAAGTGATTATACTGAAGGAAACGGGAGGGAAGGATATGCAGAGCCTAGAAGCAATGGGAGTAGGGATGGGGGGTATTCCTCAGTAGGGGTGATGAAGAGGGGACAGAATAAAGGAAGGGGAGTGCACCAGGCAGGGACATTCGTCCCCATGGTTTGCATTCAGAGCAAACTTTGAGCATGGAGCAGAAGGGGGAGAGGGTCAAGAACATCTACGGGACTATACAGAGGCTTATGATCGGTAGGTACAGGAGTTTGTTACATACAGAAATGCTGATGTTCTCCTTTTTAATGTGACTGTGATTCTTTGACTTCAGAAATCAGTTTTACACAATTTGCACTATGAGCACTCTGTGTACCTCTCTATGAGTATTAACCCTTGATCAGGGGTGTGGAAATTAAAAAAAAAAAAAAAATACTTGTCCATAGGACTAAATTGGGGTCCAAATCTACTTGTCCCTCATGACAATCTACTTGTTCTGATAAAAAACAAAAATGTACCCAAAACCTGTATTTAAATCTGAGGTGCTTCTAGGAATGTCTGGGGCTTTTTTTTTTTTAAAAAAGGGGCTTTATGGCCACTTAAACTTTTAATGTTTTTAACATTGTGCTGTTTATCTCTTCCTCACCTCCCTGCCTGTCTCCAGCACCGCACCCGGAAACTAGCAGGGAGGGGAGAGACCTTGCAGTGTAAAGAGCACTGACTGGGTGCTCATCAGGAAAGGGGAGTGTCAGGCTCTTTTAATGCTCAGAAGATGTTCATCTGCTGAGCAAGTAAATAAGGCGCCGACCCCAATAAGAAAAAAAAACTTTATTCCTTCAGGTTACCCTCGCACATCGAAGCACTTGGGTGCTCAGTACTAGTGCCTGCTGAGCAGCCAAATTAAGCTGCAGTGTTCGCTCCTTTAGGCCCCATTCACACCTGGGTGTTTTGAGATTGCGGCAGAATTTGACCGCAATCTCAAAACACACTACAATTGCAAAAGGCAGGTTCAGGTGTCATTATTTTCAGTGCAGTTTTGCCATGATTGGCACACAATTTACTGTGCAGCAATCTCGGAAAATTACATTGCATGAAGTATATAAAAAAAAAAGAATAGGAGCTTCTTTTCGGCAACAAGCCAATGTGATTTGTCGTGTGACAATCATGGCAAAACTGTACCACGTTTTAGGTGCCATTGAAAAAAGTGCATTTTGCAATCACAGGTAGAATTGCAGCGATTCTACTACAATCCCAAGATGCACAGGTGTGAACGGAACCATCCTGGTTCACATATTTGCGATCCTGGATGTGTTTTCAAACTCACAGGATCTCTTGTTTGTTGTATTGTTGGGTCAGTAGCCAGACCTGAACCTTGTAGCTCTCCCCATTGTGTCTTTTCCCCTATGCTAGCATTGTGTCCACAGTAGCACTTGCGTAGGCAGGGCAGAGTAGGACTGGCCATAGAGGGATTACTTTGACGCAGTTGGCCAGCTTAAGCATGTATTGCAATATGTGTGAACCAAATATCCCTATTTATTGCATAGTTTGCTTGAAAGGGTATATACCAGTGTGCAGAGGGTCCTTCAGAATTTCAAATTCACAGATTCGCATGACAGGTTCAGTGTTTCTCAACCTTTTTTCAGTCAAAGCACCCTCTACAATTATGGACAGTCCCAAGGCACCCTCTACAATTATCGACAGTTCCGAGGCGCCCTCTACAATTATGGACAGTCCCGAGGCAGCCTCTACAATTATGGACAGTCCCGAGGCACTCTCTACAATTATGGACAGTCCCAAGGCACCCTATACAATTATGGACAGTTCTGAGACACCCTCTACAATTATGGACAGTTCCGAGGCACCCTCTACAATTATGGACAGTTCCGAGGCACCCTCTACAATTATGGACAGTTCCGAGGCACCCTCTACAATTATGGACAGTTCCGAGGCACCCTCTACAATTATGGACAGTTCCGAGGCACCCTCTACAATTATGGACAGTTTTGAGGCACCCTCTACAATTATGGACAGTCCCGAGGCACCCTCTACAATTATGGACAGTCCCGAGGCACCCTCTACAATTATAGACAGTCCCGAGGCACCCTCTACAATTATAGACAGTCCCGAGGCACCCTCTACAATTATGGACAGTCTCGAGGCACCCTCTACAATTATGGACAGTCCCGAGGCACCCTCTACAATTATAGACAGTCCTGAGGCACTATTCTAATAGTTTTATACAACGCAGCTCCATCCACACATGTAGGACACCCAACATTAGAAGTGATTTATTCTTCTAAACCAAATACACTTTTGCACTCTGGTACTGACTAGTATTATAGTGTTTCTCTCAGTTTTTCTTCATCACTGATGTGACCTCAGAACTGACAGAGAGGAGCAGGGGAGGGTCAAACAAGGATGCTGTGCAGGCAACTGACATCCTCCTTATCAACTGATGATGTAATTGGTTGTCAGAATGCCGGTGGCTGGACGGTCGTAATGATGCACAATGAAAACCTGTGGCTTTGTGTAACTAAAAGGCAGGCTTGTTCCACCTGCTGGCTTGTATACAAGTTTTGTGCAACTTTTAGACATTTTGCCAAGGCACCCCTGAAGAAACCTCAAGGCACCGCAGGGTGCCTGGGCACCCTGGATGAGAAAGGCTGGGCTAGATATTATGTGTTCCTATTGAGGAGGTTCACACAGATGCGATCCACACTCATTGTGTTTTGAGTGCCATTACGAGTTTGTAGTGGTGCGTTCCAGACTCTCAAGTGATAGAATGTCATGCGGTAAGTGTTCACATAGGATTGCTATTGACAGAAGTTTTTACATTGAAGTCAAAGGGAGGCGTTTTTGCATTGAAGTCAATTGGAAGCGTGTTTGCATTGACGTCAATGGCAGATGTTTATGCACTGAAGTCAGTTGGAAGTGTTTTTGTATTGAAGGCAATGGGAGGCAATTTTGCATTGAATTTTGCATTGAAGCCAAAAGGATGCAATTTTTGCACTGAAGGGACCCCATTGACTTCAATGCAAAACAGCACCCCATTGATTTCAATGCAGAATTGTGTCCCATGACCTCAACGAGGCTGCTTACCCGCAGCAGGGCTAATGTAATAAAAACCCCACCTGCCCAGCACCTGGAACTGCATGTACCGGGTGTTTGGCAATATAAGTCGTGCATCCCTATTGATGGTGAGGAGCTGGAGGAGTGAAAAGTGGGCCAATGAGGTTCCTGAGGACACATAGATTTCAGGCTGTGTTTGACCTCTTTTGCTTAATGAGGTCCATCTGAATAGATAATGGCACACCCATAATCCTGATGGTAGATTGGTAGATTGGAGTCGTACTCTGTTGAAGTGTTTTTTTTTGGCTATACTGAGTGTATAGAGTCTTGCACAATTTAAATTCATGGGACTGCTAATAGAAGAATATTAACCTATGGACTTTAGGATATGTGATTTCTGACACAAAATGTTTTCAGGTTTGGTGCATATACAGATATATTTATGTATGTCATATTTATTTACTTCGCTATTTGCGGAGACAAAGTGTGGGGATAAGAGGGTTTGAAATGATTTGTAATAAGTCAGGGGGAACCTGTCAGGACCGAAGGGCTTTACCAGGCTTAGTGGATTTAGTAGATCTACGGCCTACTCTAGAAGTTGGGAGTTCAGTGAAAATCCCTGGACTCATAAAGTCTAGAAAGGATTTGATTTCAATCTTGTTAGAATTGAATAACATATCCAGCACCTTCCAGGGGTTTAGGCACTTCCTCTTCACCAGAGCTTTAATGATGTATGACTTCAATAAGATTGGACCCAGGAAAATGATAGAATACTTTACAATCAGAGTGTGTTCAAATTGTATTTTCTGTGTGTTCTGCTGCTGCCACATTCTGATTGCACAAGTACTACAATAAATCTAATGAGTCGAGTCTTATTTAGGATAAACAGCATGGAAGCCTGATGAGGAGTGCCTAAACCATAGGTGTCTATGCTCATTCCTCAATGTATCTCAATTCAGGGAGCCATAGTTGTTACCCAGGTTGGAATTCAAACATGTCTGCCTTAACGCATCTCCATTTACATGAGGGATGCGGAGATTAGTAGTTTTCAGCTTGCATGTAAAAGGCCTATGGACCGTTTTGACTAATATAATAAAGATCTACAATGTGGCCTATTTTATTAAGTGAACCATTGACTAAAGTAAGACTTTGGAGTGGACTTTTTTTAGGAACATTTGCCTTAAGTACTTTTAGGAATCTTTACATACATTTATAAGATTAGAATAATTAACTGCCCTTATTGGTTTACTATCATGCCTACAGTGCTATTTATTTTCCTCATCTTACTTGGTAGCCAGACCTTTTTATTAGTCATAACTATGCACAAGCCTTTTATACGCAAGCTAACTGATGGTCAGAATTTTATTTCTTGCTCTCTCTCTGCTGTGAGAGTCTTCTGCTAGGTGAAAAGGTGGCGTGTTGACAGAACACTATAAAAGGTATATGTGCTGCTTGTTTGTTTTGGGAATCCAAAAGGAGACACTGGGATTTACTAAAACCGGAGAGTGCAAAATCTGATGCAGTTGTGCATGGTAACCAATCAGCTTCTAACTTTAATTTGTTCAATTAAGCTTGGACAAAAAAACCTGGAAGCTGATTGGTTTCTATTCAGCACAATTTATCATGCAAAAATTGCAGCATTACCACAGCGCATTTTCAGATGTTATTAAAATGAATGGCACCTGAACACGCGCTTCCGTGAATTACATTTTAGCAGACCACTTTGAAATCACAGGCAGAAGTGACGCGATTCTGCCCACAATTCAACATGTCCTAGTGGTGAATGGGGTCTTAGTGACCTGTGAAATCCAAAGATTAAGTCCAGTTAACAAGGGCTACATTTGTCAGGAAAATTAGAATTAAAATAGATTTGCATAATAAATCAGTACCATAATGCATGTCTGAGGCTGGGTTCACACTGAAGCGGTGCGGAATTCGCAGTGTTTTCTGTGCGAATTCCGCACCGTATCACAATCGCACCCCTTTCAAGCGAACAGCTGTGGGTGTGTATGTTAACTTAACACCCCAAAATCGGTCCGCAAAACGCAGTGCGATGTGTAGAATCGGATCACATAGGTGTGAATACCCATGCGATCCGATTCTAGTGCGGACCCAAAGAAGGGTCCTGCACCTTTTTGGTGCAGGTGTGGAGCGATTTGAGCCATACAAAATGTATGGCTCCAATTGCACCACACACAAATTGCATGTGATTTGCACAGGATTGCGGTGCAGTTCCTGTGCGAATCACATGCAATATACCGCACTGCGTATATGTGAACCCAGCCTTAATCCCAGAAATGGACTGGTGACAATGGTCACTAGGAAAAAATCACTATTGGAAAATTTCCCATTAGGTACAAAGACAGTAATAAAAAGCAAATGAAGGGAGAATTGGTTAAGTGCAGGTTCTCTTTTCAAATGGTTATTGATGGAGTAACCATTAACCGTGCTCTCTTAACTAAGAAAACAAAAGGGGTCTGGTGCTGGATGGATTTGTGATGAAGCAATAAACACCTGACACAATTACCTGAGGAAAACACATGATTTGTGATGTAACGCGTAGGAAGGAAGTGTGGTGACATCATTTCCGGGCAGACATAGTCCGCCATCTTGGTACACCTTTTCCTATTTATTTTATTCCCAATGCTTGTATGGGTCTGCTGGCCCAATTTTCAAAGTTGAGTATTCTATACCTGTTTTTTATACATTAAACATGGACGTATTACACTGTTAGATGTCCTTTGATGTTTTTTTTGAATATTTCTGATGAGGAATTGGAGAAGGAACCAGTAAAGTACACTTACAGACTAGAGCTGGTTGAATTTCGGGTTGATATTAAAGCGCATTTGACCTATAATCCCTATAGGTCAAAATGGGAGGTGAGCGTGCACACGAGCTGGTGGAGGATTTTTAAGGGTGATCACTTTTCAATTCACGTGTGGAATATATGCTGATTTGAAGATTTTTCTGCATTACAGATCTTAATTATTACTACATTTACGGACATTTATTCATAGACTGAAACTGGGTTGAGAGGTCAGCCGGGTGTTTTGTTTAATTTATTATTATTAAAATGTTTCTTTATATTTTGTGTGTTTTCTTATATATAGTAATATTATTTATACCTTGATATAAATTACTCAGATTATCTATTTCCATATTTGTTGAAGTTATTGTTCATACTTGGTATTTCCTAGCAGGGCATCTATTCTTTTTGAATATTTTCATTCACTTGTGCTTGGTTATTTTCAAGGTATGCACTTATATTACCTTAGTTAGGAACTCTGTTGGGTATTTACTTTTTACTTTATGGTTAGGTTTAGTGAGTAGCGCAGCACTATTTATTTATTCATTTATTTTTTAGTGTTGTGAGAATGCAGTTTGGGGTTTGCAGCCACTCTAAGTTTGTCATATAAGGTTTAACCAGCGCAAGAGGATTTTATCTTTATTAGCTGTGCATCATTGCTATTGACAACAGTGGACCAATCCTGCCAATGTGCATTGGCACTAGTGATAAGCCGAACATACCCGAGTTTGGTTTGGAGTACATTAACCAAACTTTACCAAAGTTCAGATGCCAAAACTTAACTCTACTAAAATCAATGGGACCGAAATCTTAATAATCTTTAAGATAAATAATGGCCATTTTCTAGGCTAATAGACAAGGGATTGTCAAAAAAGGGCATCGGAAACTGGGCCACATGTCCCAATGCCAAATGGAAGCAGTAATCAAGCTTAAAGTGAAACTTTAAAAATGCTAAATTCCTTTAAATAACATGTTTGAAGGATGCCATGAACCTGTCTATGAAGTGGGATATCTGCATGGTGTATACAACCTACTACAGAACTGACATTTGCAAAAAAAAAAAAATTTCATTTAAATTGCCAGTATGTGACAGTAGTTACCAGCCACTTCATCTGTTTGTATACAAGTGGCCAGGGATTGCCTTTATCCATACCAGACTGGTATAGATATTAATGGGGACTCCACAATGAAAACTATGGGTTCCCCCTAAGAATGCACACCAGACCTTAATACTTGATGATGATCTGATATGGATGTTAGGGGGAACAACTAATAAAAAAAAGGAAAAAAGCATACCTTCCAAAATCCAAGCCAGACCCTCATCTGAGCATGCAGTC